GCTTTTATTTTATATAATTAATATAATAATCAGATATTCTAGATATATTTTAAGCAATCAATTTTTCGAATTAATATAATATTCGGATATCTTACTTCTTTATATAATCAATCAATTAATTTTCATGATATAGATATTATTTCGAGAAATCAATTCAATTCTCGAATATTCTAAATATTATTATATTTAATCTTTTTATTCTAGTCATTTTTTATATAGATATTCTAATATTCGTATACTATAATTATTACTTTGAATATTCCGTATAATATCCAAATATCTTAAAAATCATTTCATCTAATCAATAATATTCTAAATATTATTCTATAAGATCAATATAATCTTCAATTATATTTTTATAGTCAAGAATATACTAAATTAGAAATAAATATCCTATATATCATTCCTATAAGAAGTATCTCTAGATCTAATAACGATATGAAACTACTTAATCGCAGAAATGAACATATTCAATATTTAGATTAAATCTATGGTCACCAGCGGCCAAATTTCGAATTTCCAGCTATACAGTACAGGCTTATCAGAGATGGTGGTGCAAGAACACATATATCAATACAACATCAAAATCGAAAATAGCAAGGTGATGCAGAAGTATGAAATATCAGCAAATGAGCAAGTTTAAACAACAGAGAATCAATCTATCTACCGTAATCATATGGACTTGTTCAATTGATGGATAAGCATTCGCTCCAGTTTGCTTCAGCGTGGTTCTTCGTTACGTGGAAAGCAGCAACAGCAGTTGTCAAGCACCTTGTGGTGGGAGGAGCCGCAATGCACAGAATCACCAGGGTCACCGTTAGAAATGGGCCGTAGATGATCTTATCCTGAGCTTTTCTGCAGGAGCCAAAAAACTGACGTGACAACTGCATGCTTACCGAGACTATGGCATAACCCAGAAGAAAAGACAAGACGTGTCTACTTCGTCACCAGGCAACAACACTCCGCCAACTGCGTTGCGTGCCGGCATCCATCCTTGACGAGAGCCGCATTCGCAGACCTCGGCCTCTGCAGGCTCCAGCTCGTTTAGAAAAGTCCGTCGCACCACCACGTCGGTGCTCGGGGATGCGAAGCAAGGCTTCTTGGCATGTGGAGCTCGCAGCTGGAAGCGAGCTTCAGGAGCTTCCCCTATCCTGGGAGCAGCAACTCCTCCGTTCAGACGCCTGTAAGCCCTTTGCTGGTTGTGGAAAGCTGAATGGATCTGGTCCTTGCAGAGCGACCAATCCTGCGTCCGCACTGCAACTTGATAGGGCACCAGCGGCCTCCCGTTCAACTCCCCATACAGTTTGAGCTGGATGTTGTTTCGATGCAAGAACTCCCCGAGGTACAAATAGAAATTAAAGTCCGGAGTATTCCACCTCATCCAGTAGGAGTCGATCCCCTGGTCATCAGTGACAAGCACCCAGCTCTCGTCCAAACGACGCTGAGGCACGGTGCTGGGGGAAAACGGAAGTAGCGGCGGTCCGCGATTACAGTTTCTGAGGTGCAAGATGGTGTAGTACGACCTGTCCTTAGCATCTGTTTGCGGTTTCGCATGACACCATGAGAGGACCCCTATCGAGACTTCGGAATTGTAATCTTTCAAAGTGTCCAGTTCGTGAAGCTTCGGCAGATCCCGTTCCTGCAAGTGCTTCTCGAAGCGATCTTTTTCCAGCTTGGCAAGTCTAGAAAGATGCGTGGTGGCCCACACCTTGCTGGCTCACACGAACGAGTTGAAGGAATGCAGCCCTATGCATCCATAATGCTGTAAGCTAGACCCGTCTAGTCATGGCCGGCCAGACACAGGATAGGTGGCAAAGGGGAGGAAGATGACGTTAGACCTCGGCCATGACCAGCTATTCAGGCTCAGGTTGGTATCTAAGAGACAAGAAAACCACAAGAGCTTGCGAGCTTGCCGAGGGACACAACCACCTTTCCAGGCTCAGTATGTGGATGCACAGTGAGTGCATAGGCCCGAACTGGACCGACCTGAAATAGAGCGGTGTGACGCCTGCCCAGAGGCAACACCAACATCGCTGCCATGCCAGGTGAGGGAATGTCTCTCCGTACAACCATTCGCGCGAAGTAAGCATCCCAGTCCACTGACTCCTTGGCCTCTGCTTGAAGGCAGGAGGGGCTTTCCAATATACGCCGCATGGAGCATGCTCGCAGTGGCTGTTGCCCATCCTCTTGGCTGATGCGAACGATGGCATCGCCGGGGCCGACTTGCTCTAGCCACTCGGCACGGACGAACCCCGACACGCGCACGACGGGCTGGCTGAAAGCTTCCTTGGCACATCCCCTAACAGAAGGGAGACCTCAACCAATTCAGTAAACACACAATACATCGCAAAAAAGCTCCAAGTCAAACCCAGCTGCTGGCCGGGTTAGCCTTACGGTGTCTTGGTTCGTTGCGGAATGAAAAAGCGAATTACCAAGAGCCATCAGATGCTTGAGCTTTTAGCTTTTCAAAACTCGTTGTTTGAAGGTCTGAAATTGATGAAAGCATGGACCACAGGTTGTGCTCAAGGGATAACTCAATCACCCTGGCCCTGAACTCTATTCAAACAGTCCCATGTAGCTCCAGTTCCCTACCAAGATCCAGGTGGCAGAGAGGAGGCTTCGAGTGGTGTGTTGACCACAAACTGCAGCCGTGTCATGCATGACCCACCTTGGCTCGCTGGCTCTGACTTTGGCTTGAAAGCCCAGTATGAGAATCTTAGCGTGAATAATATAAGGGGCTAAACAATTTCCAACCTTATTTTGGGGGTTCCCCACTATATGGTACAATGGGCCCCACAACCCAATTCTACTTATTTCGGCCCCTGTATTATGCGAAACCCTTTGCTGCAAAGTCGCAAGTGGAGAACTTGTGGCAAATGCGGCCGTCGTGCTCCGAGCAGTCCGGACTCTCCGGAAAGGTCTTTTGGACATTGACCCAGCCCGCGGAGTCCTGGGATTTTCCGATGTCGGATTGATGTTTCAAGGTGGATTCTTGTGCATTCTATTTCCATGACTTAAGAGGCTAGTGGCATCAAACTTAGTGTTTGTAAGCATGCTGCGAATCGACTGCCTTAGACAAAGTAGGGGAGGATGTCGCAGCAACAGCAAGAACTCCAATGATTACCACTAGTACTACGACTGCCGCCGTTACTGCGACTGCTTCAGCTACTACTACTGCTGCTGCTGCTACTACTGCTACTTTTGCGCCGACGACGAGGGCGACGACTACCACAGACAAACGTGATTTTATTAAGCATTAGCTCAGCAACACTTGCAACAGTCTTGATGGGGCTGGCAGCACTTAATATAAAATTCACAGCGTGACCCAATGCTCACATCATTTCCGATACAAATAAGGTCACTAATGGCATGAGAGGCATAGCAAGATTGTGAGCAATAGCAACGGCAAGCGCGTCATGCTTGACAATGATAAGACTGGGCAACGGCACCCAGGCTTCCCAGCCACAACCTCACCTGGCGCCCCGAAGCAGGGCGGGCGTTGCTTACCCGGATCCCTGGGCTGTTGAGTGGTGACTGACCAACAACAAGCTTTGACTTGTTCCATGTTTGCTACGGCCAAGTCGCTGTCGCTTCCACGATGTTGGCAAAAAAGTCTTCTATGTCAATGTGCGGGGTCAACTCGTCGAGAGCAGCCGTGCCCGACATTGGAAAAACACCCCCCCACATGTTCAAGGCTTCGCCTTGTAGGGTTGAGGGCTTCAGGAATCTACTGCCTAGTCGGCCAACGCAAACAAAGACTGCAGGTTCCCTTCGTGTTTTTTCAAATGAAAAGGAGTGCAGGGCCATGCTTCCTGCGAGAAGTACCTTCTTTTACAGCGTGAAGCTACTGAGCAGGTGAACCTCAAATCAATCTCCAAATTCACCCACTTCAAACCATCCACACCATGGCACCTCAGGTTCACGTTCGAGCAATGCCACCGCCGGCGTGTCATGCAGACCCATATACTTATTTACTCCAGAACTCTCAAGTTTCTGTGGCTTTTTGGGCAGTCCAGTTCTCCGGTTCCTCAACCTTCAACTCTGCAACTTTGAACGCGTTGAGGTGTCACAAGGAAGGGCCAGGAAGACTTGATGGTCTAGTCGGTGACGGTCTGGTCTGGGACCCAACGGTCCGAAGATCGGTTGTGTTTGGGTGTAGAGTACACGACTGCTACACAAGGCACCATGAAGGGAACCCCGTGGAACCTTCGACAACGTTCTTGAAAGGAGTCCCTGTCAGAACAACTCCTATATCCCTTTAAAACACAATGGCAAACGTCTTATATACTTCGATGGGGGCCTACATGATCGGCATTGGGTTTCGAGAAAGAATTACACAATGGCTGGCCACAGCTGAATCGCAGAGTCGGAACAGATTTCCGCAAGGCTGGGTCCACTCTGAAAGGCTCAAGACCCACTCTCTTGCATGCTGCCTTCTAGACCGCATCCCACCGCATGTGCCCACAGGGGTTCGAGGTTGTAGTTGCAGTGACGAAACCCTGGATGTCACTTTAGTCAGCATCTTTGAAAGTCCCAATGGTTCTGGCTATTTTCAGGGTTTGGGTAGATAGTTCGTGGGGGAGGAGGTCTTGCTTCTGGGCAAAGATGCAGGCTATCCGTTGTAAGTCTGTCAGTCGGACCTGCGCTTTCGGTCACGCGGCAAGCAGCGACCTGTACGCCTGAGACAGCTCTGGAACCGATCCTCGACGAAACACTTGAAAGCAAAATCAGGGACCTATGAAATGTCAAACAGACACCTTTTCGGAAAGCTCGTCTCCAGATGCAGACAAAGGAAGTCTAGAACAACACGAGCGACACCTTTCCAACCTTCTCCTAGACTTTCGCTTCTGCCCTGCACTAGGTCAACCGATTTCTCGGCTATCAAGCTGCAACAATCAACGTACACGAAAGGGAATCAAGGAACCAGAACCAGCATGTTCCTACGTGGCCTCGACGAGTCAAACGCATGTCTTGGCGCCGTTTCTTGTGGCCGTCACTCAAACCACCGTCATCTCGTCTCTGTCAACATCATCATCAACACGGCCATGTAGCATCGCCGTCCTTCCGGTCAGCATGTGGGTCCGGTCTATGGGCCACTTTTGGCATCAGGAAATCCAGCATCAGATTGGGAATTTGAAGCTAGAGGACTCGTCAGCCCAGAGGCTCTCTTTTTTTCGGTTGCGAGCCATTCGCACAGAAGTCTATGAAGCATTTGCCTGTGGCATGAAGGCTGCCGTTGCAGACTACTCCTTGTAAGACGGATGCAACTTCGTATAGTCGCTGCCTACGTCCACCACAAGGGACGTCAGCTAGGGATGTGAATTCGCCGCTTTTCAGGCCGTGGGATTTCGTAACAGCTGAATCGAGGCATGAGCCGTGGCTTTTTATGTTCAAGCTTAGTCAAATCGTCGTGTGCATCCGGCTCGCTTTTAGTGGTCCCTGTCCGGCTGGGCCGACCTTACATAGATACTCTGAAAGAGAGTGCCAGTGCAGAACCACGCCCTAAAACCTCTTAACACGCATACAAGCAGTATCGACCCTCCACATCACAAAGAAAGAGTCCCCCTGAGCCATACAGATTAACTATACCACCCAAAAATCCCCTTTGTCTATGATATGAGTGTCGTGCGAGCCAGAAGATGCCCTAGAGTGGGGCCCAGTGCGCAAAGCTCAGAAGTGCGGGCTCGGAAGGGAACGTAAGGATTGTTCCGAGGACTTTCCTAAACCCTAAACCCCAAACCCCAAACCACTAAACCCTAAACCCTAAACCCTAGACCCTAAATCCCAAAAAAGCGCCCGACTCCGAAGTTTGTGCATCCAAGTCAGGCTGGTGGAGTGTTGCGGGTTTTTGGCGTTGGTGGTGTGGATGAGATGCCATGAGCGCCAACACCAAACCACGGCTTAGGTTCAAAGTAGGGGTCTTAATGAGAAGACTAGAGTGTTAGATAGGATTTAACCTTATCATATGTTGGGTCTTTAAGGAATAGAAGTGCTGTTCACACAGGCCCTAAACCCTAAGCCATGAACTTCAGCTTCGATTCAGCGGAACTTGACTCTTGTGATGCATGGCTTGCCTTCGGCAGGGTGCACCTCATTTGTCCAACGACTCAATGTAGCCGGCGTGCCAGAAGCTCGGTGATCACCGTTCCCAAAGACATTGTAAGCTTCTTGCAGAAGCACTACGGCAGATCTCAGGATGTTCGTGAACCATGCATGCTTCATAGCAAATGCGTGTGGTCTCTGACAGCATTTGGGGGGCTTCAAGAACTAGCAAAAGGCTTTGGGGCTGAGGTTGTCGCGAAAACGACACTGCAATCACTTGGAACATCAACCCTCTATTTCACACGGTCCTATAGACCCAAGCGGTCATAGGAAGGCACTTAGAACCACTTCTTGAAGTTTACCGATTAGGCCCTCTAATGAAAACTTTAAGGGGCACCCCTGAAAGTCAAGGTGTTAAGATCCTAGCTACGTCGGAAACAGCACAACCCCTAAAGCCACAGGTAGCAAGCTTATTCGCTTCCCCAACGGACCTGTGATACACTAACCGACCCAAAAACCCTAGACGAATTTTTTAATTACTAGCAATAATCATAATTTCTATTACTACTACTATTACTAATCTAAAATTAAGGACCCTATGTCGAGCCCCTTCTCTCGTCCTGTGGAAGCACATCCGCTAGCTAGCGAGACCGGTCCGATAGAGCCAGGATGGGCAACTTCTGTGCTCCCAGGCTTCAGGGCTTTTAGGGCTTTTAGGGCTTTTAAGGGCTTGACCATTTAGGGGTTTAGGGCTTTCAGGGCTTTTAGGGCTTTTAGGGCTGTTAGGGGTTTGACGATTTAGAGGTTTAGGGCTTTTAGGGCTTTTTGGGGGTTTGACGGTTTTGGGGGATTTAAGGCATAGGGGTTTAGGGGTTTTAGTAGGGGTTCAGGGGGTTCGGGGTTTAGGGCTTTTAGGGTTTACGGGTTTGACGGTTTAGGGGGTTTAGGGCTTCAGGGTTGGGTTTAGGAGGATAGGGCAACGGTAGCGCCTGAATCTACGGTGGAGTCCTCCGGCTGGTCTGATAGGTGGGTTTACTCTCTTCTTCAACAACCAAAAGTTTAAAGTTCTCCCGTTGGCTATCTAAGTTTTTGTTAGTTCCAATCAGGGACACAGGACTCTGCAAGCAAGAACGCTTAGGGGAGTCTGAGATCCAGGCTTCAGTTTGGGGGATCTAGGAGTTCAGGGGTGCTTGTCGCAATATAGATTGCGGAGTCTTCGGGTGTAGGCCTCAAGGTCTAAGGGTTTAAGCCTTGAGCTTCTTAATGTCGCAGCGAAGCATCCTCGCACCGTCGGGGAGTGCATTGAGAGACTGACACTGTACTCAAATGCTGATGGCATCAGACGTCTCCATAACAGCCCGTGACGCTTCGTCCTCTGAGAGGCCTTTGTCATCAAAAGGGATGGCTTGAAGCAAGTTACAAACATTACTGCCACCATCGTTGTGATGCTTCTGGTTGCTGTCAAGATGGTGCCATGTAACCGTGATTTCACCAAATGCACAGGCGAAACATGCTCAACATGATCAGTCTTGCTGCACTGTGTTTCGGTTAGATTGAAACGGTAAGGGTGCCAATGTCAATAAGATCTTTATATATGGGACCCTGAGCGCTTGTTCAGAAGCTGGTAGGAGACTTCGAGCACATCTACGCACCCACTCCCAGGCTCTTTGGCAATCCTTGAAAAAATCGCTCACCCTTGGCGTTCTGCTTTTTCACACAACCCACCTCCGTGAACCAAAGAATTCCCCGAAATCCCTCAACCCCACAAGAGCCTTGACGGAGACCCTGTAAAGGAACCCCAAAAAAGGTGCCCTAGCGAGAAAAAAACACTTAAACCCTAAACCCTAAAGAAAGCAAAGGTCCACTGCAGGCTCAGAGTCCAAAGCCGAAGGTCTCCAAGCTGGCGTCAGAACCACGGGCTTCGACGGCGAGGTCCTACCCAACGTTCGGGTTTCGGGCTCAATTTGGGCACCTTAGTTACTATGCTTTGCACCAGAAAATAGGGACGACAGGGGAACGAACTTCCGAATCGTTCAGACTCCTGCAGTAGGGTTTATGGCTCCAGGGTTACGAGCTGAGGCCATGTTGATGGGTTTAAAAAAGTCTTGGTCTGGGCCTGGGCTCCGTTTAAGTTGATTAGCAAGGCAACCTTCCTTCTCTCCCATAGCCTACCGGAAACATCCCAAGCAAATTGGGAAGGAACCTTGTCTTGAGTCCACTGCCATTGATGTCAACAGGGAACATGCTCCTGAAACGGTCCGGATAACGGATAATTGACTCTTCTGTTTGATGGAGTGTTTTCGAGTGTCAGTTTCGTTGTGTCATGCAAGTCTGAGCTTGATCAGTTGATAAGTTTGAGGCTTCATACATACTGACACCGCACAATATTCTTGGCCTCAATGTAGCCACAAGCTTGACGGGCCATGTTGCATCGGTTTCAAGCTCAGAAGGATTTACCTTCAATGGAACAAACGTTCGATTCTCACTCGAAAGCATGTTGACACGAGCCCAACACCGAAACGACAAACCCCACACACCCAAATCTCAGCCTCATATAAGGGCCGTAATACTTAGGATAAGGTTTTTGGGTTTAGTAAACTGTCATAAGAGGCTCTTATTGCAAG